GGAAACTCAGCGTTATCAGCTATAACACTATAATGATAATCGTCTGTATAAAACTGTCCACATGCTGGTTATACAGAGGTTTAAACAAACAGAGTAGCGTTCTCTTTAGAGGCAGGAATTCGTAAATTGCAATAAAGCGCTATAGAAACAGTTCAACACTTTCAGAAGGAAAGATTTATTACTAAAAGGTCAAACGGGTGCAATAAAAATATTTACAGAAAAAGATGTACCTAAGATATATATATATATATACATACACAAAGAACCATAGCACAGCAAAGAGATATCAGAGAGAGGTGAAAGGGTTAAAGTACTTGCCAAAGTCCTGGGTTAGCAGATCCAAGTTTCAGAGCAGAAGAGTGCTTTGATCTCCCTATGTTACGATGGTCAATTGGAGAATTCTACAACTTCCCACTCTTAGGCCTGACAGCCTGTTTTGTAGCCCCCAGCAGGGGGTGGCTCTGAAGTCAAGGACAAATCTCAGCTTTTGGCGTGGAGATATGGGTGGATGCCTCAACTAGAGCAAAAATCTCCCTTAACTCATATTTTGGCCTATAACTTTCCATCTGCACCAGTGACATCCCACCCGCGGGTAGATTATTATGCAGACAAGTCTGACGATTGATTAGATATGAATTATGAAAGTGTACACTGAACGGTTCACGAGATCTATTTTTCTGCTTTCCTGTGTGTCTGAGACAAGGCGAGTGACCCATGTTCGCCTGCTCATTGTCCATCTGACGATATGTCCGGTTTTTATGTAAGTCTCTCATATTCCAAGATATGAAACATAGGGGAAACATGGATTTTGAGACGTGTTATCTGATTCTGTCACCTATGCTGAGTAGGTTTTATTAGGTTGGAATCTCTCTCAACTCCTGAGAAGGGTTGCCTTATCTCTTCCTATAAAGGCCCCCCCCAGGGAGCCCCAGCTCCCGGGGGGCCTTTATAGCTCCTATGACCCTCCTGTGACATTTTTTAACACACACATACACTGTCACTGTAAGTCTCAGAGTGAGGAGGGAAGGGGGAAGGAGAGTGAGGGGAGAAAATAGAGATTCTTAACAAAATGGCGGACTGCGTCAGTCTCTGTTGAGCACATTTGCGACAACACCTGTCCACAGAATCTCTTTCTTGAGCACCACAATGGGTAAGACCAAAGAGTTGTCAAAGAACATCAGGGACAAAATTGTAGACCTGCACAAGGCTGGAATGGGCTACAAGACCATCAGCAAGAAGCTTGGTGAGGAGACAACTGATGGAGCGATTATTTGCAAATGGAAGAAATACAAAATAACCATCAATCGCCCTTGGTCTGGAGCTCCATGCAAAATTTCACCTTGTGGGGTAAGGATGATCATGAAAAAAGTGATGGATCAGCCCAGAACTACACAGAAGGTGCTTGTGAATAATCTCAAGGCAGTTGGGACCACATTCACCAAACAAACCATTAATAGCACAATACGCTGCCATGGATTGAAATCCTGCAGCAGCGCCCGCAAGGTCCCCCTCCTCAAGAAGGCACATGTACAGACCCTAGTGAACAAAAGCAGACAAGGGCGCACTCTCATCGTGCATTACCAAGGTACACCATGTATTTATTGTGTAGAAAAATGGATATATACTCACAAACCAATGGAAATTAAAAACAGAATGAGTGGTCCGCAATAATAGTCAATACAATAATGTGTCCTTAATCAGGATAGGCTGACGCGTTTTGGGAGACAAGCCCCCTTCCTCAGAGCTAAAATATATGCCTGCTGGTCCCAAGCTTATATACCAAAGAGTGTCAAGGAAAGGGTATAAAGACCCTCCCACCCACTCCAGGCGCACCAATCCCAGAGAAAGCCGACCTGCTCACAAAAAAAAAAAAAAAAAAGGTCGGCCTTCTCTGGGATTGGGCCGTCTGGAGTGGGTGGGAGGGTCTTTATACCCTTTCCTTGACACTCTTTGGTATATAAGCTTGGGACCAGCGGGCATATATTTTAGCTCTAAGAAAGGGGGCTTGTCTCCCGAAATGCGTCAGACTATCCTGATTAAAGACACATTATTGCATTGACTGTTATTACGGACCACTCATTCTGTTTTTAATTTCCATCGGTTTGTGAGTATATATCCATTTTTCTACACAATAAATATGTGGTGTACCACGGTAGTGCACGATGAGAGTGTGCCCTTGTCTACTTTTGTTCACTAGTGTCCAGATTTACCGATCTTTGAAGGGCAGCACCTCTTCGTTTGGCATTCTGAAATTTCTTCTGGTCTGCTTGAGGATTTGAGCGCTGGTTTTGTTTGTTTGTCGTTGGATTACATGTACAGACCCATCTGAAGTTTGCCAATGAACATCTAAATAATTCAGAGAAGGATTGGGAGAAAATGCTGTGGTCAGATGAGACCAAAATGGAGCTTTTTGGCATTATCTAAAAATATGCTGACTATGACCCTAAGAACACCCTCCCTACAGTCAAGCATGGAGGTGGAAACATTATGCTTTGGGGCTGTTTCTCTGCTAAAGGTACAGGCTGACTGCTGCATTGAGGGGCCAATGGATGGGGCCATGTATTGTAAAATATTGGATGAGAACCTGCTTCTCTCAGCCAGAACACTGAAGATTGGTCATGGATAGGCCTTCCAGCATGACAATGACCCAAAACATACAAGGCAACAAAGGAGTGGCTCAAGAAGAAGAACATTAGGGTCATGGAGTGGCCTAGCCAGTCTCCAGACTTTAATCCTGTAGAAAATTTATGGAGGCAGCTGAAACTTCAAGTTGCCAAGTGACAGCCAAGAAACCTTAAGGATTTAGAGAAGATCTGTAAAAAAGAGTGCACCAAAATCCCTCCTGAGATGTGTGCAAAAAATGTAACCAACTACAAGAAACATCTTACTTCTGTGCTTGCCAGCAACAGTTTCTCCACCAAGTACTAAGTCATGATTCCTTGGGGAGTTATTCACTGAACTTCAACTCAATTTACCACATTTGTATTGTGTGTTTTTTTTCTGGATTTTTGGTTGATATTCTGTCTGTATCATTTAAAATATACCTATGATAAAAATAATAGACCCTTAATTTCTTTTTAAGTGGACAAACTTACAAAATCTGAAGAGGATCAAATAATTATTTTCCCCACTGTATATTAAAAGTAAAAGATATTTCAAAACCATAACCTGCACATAATATCATTGTTCATCAATGGCAATTAATCTGTTTAGTAACAAAGGTTATCCAGTGTGCTAAGAAAAACAATCTAGAAAGGTGCCCTAGGAGAAAGGTCTGTAGATCAATGTTTCCTTGTTTGATGCTCAATGATCAGTATCTGTTAATCTACATTATCCCCTTGAGGTACAAACCCTGTTGTCATTAATAGCTCAGGTCACCATTAAATATCGGGAACCAATCAGCTTTGTTTGCGATCATGTGATCCCTCTGTCAGCTATGACATAATAATTGCATTAGGAAAGAGGCTTCCTGAGCAAAATAACTTTTGGTGCTCAGATTGTATTTATCCATTTTTGTCCATTTGCAAGCCTGTAATAAAAATTGGTATCCATCTAGAAAGTATAATCATACAAATTATGTGTGGTGGATTCAAATGAACCAAAAAGTCCTCTACTGAACCAAACATTGAAACTGTAAAGCCTTCTTAAGGTAGAAAGTATCTGTATTTCTCGATTCAATTGCAATAACCAAAACTGAGTGTTAAAAATACATTAAATAAACTTAATAAATCATAGTAAATAGTTTTTCATCATATCCCAAATTACCTTTAACTGTATTACTAATGAGGTATTTTATTAGCTAATGAGGGTTAATAGATTAGTTCATTTGGGGAGGATAATCAATAGTTGTAGTTTTTTTTTAATTTTTAGTTGTGCTCAAATATCGAGCTTAAAGGGTTTTGGTACCCTGACCTGATATAACACCCACCATCAAGACAAAAATGTAAAGTATTAAATGAAACTTAATGATAAATACTCTCCTTCTCTATGAATTATTGGATCCCAACAATACATTGGATGCTCTGAATTACTCAAGTAAGAAAGTGTAATACCAAATGGAATTTTAGGACTCGCAAACCTTATAAAATTCTTGTCATAATGATTTGTGTCCACACAAGCCTGATTTGAACTTTTCTTATGATAGCAATTTAAACAATCACAATTTTTTCCTGCCCACATTTTGGGAATTCGCAAATCATTTAAAATTTCTTTGGGAGGCCTTCTAAAACTGCTCCACAGGATTCTCTGTTGGCCACTTACAAAAAAAGACAAGAAACTCTCTCTTCACCTCATTGCCATATAGAAGGCATGCTTGAAGAGAACTAGAGAAAGCATGGTCAAACAGTGGCATATTCCTCTGGGATGGAGTACCCTGGACAACATCTACATGTTGACTTCTCCTCTTCTAATTCTCTCGAGATACTATAACTATGATGACCTATCTTTATTTAGGTGTTTACTGAACTGTGCCACACCGCGCGTGCCTACATGCTCTCCCTGGGGAAATCTACCAATCACAAATAGAGCAGGCTTCACTGGAATCTCCTTAAGGGAAATTATTAAGTAGACACCTCTGGTGAATTTTGTGAGGAACAATAATGATTAGACAAACCTGTACAAATAATCCTCTCACCAAAAGTGGTTGACCAAGAAGGTCTAAGCCTTCTCCACAGGATGCAAAACTAAACAATATGCAATTTTGGCTTAAATACTTGGAAATACTGAACTGGAATAAATATGTGGATAGACTGACATTTTACTGACTTACTGTATTTTTCGCTCCATAAGACACACCTAGGTTTTAGAGGAGGAAAACAAGAAAAAAAATATTCTGAACCAATGAACTGCATACATAGTACAGGAAATTACCATAGACTGCAGACATAGTAGAGGAGATGACCAGAAACTGCGAACACGGTACAGAAGATGACCAGAGACTGCAGACACGGTACAGAAGATGACCAGAGACTGCGGACACGGTACAGGAGATGACCAGAGACTGCGGACGTACAGGAGATGACCAGAGACAGCGGACCAGAGACGCGGACACGGTACAGAGATGACCAGAGATGCGGACACGGTAGGAGATGACCAGAGACTGCGGACACGGTACAGGAGATGACCAGAGACTGCGGACACGGTACATAAGATGACCAGAACTGCGGACATAGTACACAGGATGACCAGAGGACTATGGACATAGACCAGAGACTGCAGACCTTTGGGGACCTGTCAAATTCAGGTACCCGCACCCATGCCAGAGTTGTCCTCCCTCCCCGCTTCTGGGACAAATGACAGGTCGCAGAAGACTGCCGGACCATTCACATAGAACAGCTTCTCGTGCATGCACAGTGGGCACCCGGTTGTTAAGCGCAAGCTGTTACAGCCGGGTACCCCACACTAAAGATGCCGGCGGTGGCGAGAAAAGACGGTGAGACAGCACTGGACCGAGGAACAGGTAGGATCATGGAGCACAGAAGAGCCGAACTGCCGGCCTGGTATTCTAACACAGCGGTGGCAGGAATACCTGGCCGGCCCGCTCCATATTCGCACCATAAGACGCAGGCATTTTACTCCATTTTTTTGGGGAAAAAAGTGTGTCTTATTCAAAAAAATACGGTAACTAATCTACATACTGGTTTCAAGCTGGTGACTAAGAAAGAATTGAAGCCGAACAGTCAGCATAGCAGTCAGCAGTAGCATTATGGAAGGAAAAATTTTTAAAAGAAGCCCGTACACCTTTCAAGATACGGGTTTATTTAGGTCTCTTCTTTTGCATGCATGTAAGAATCTACATGTATGCCTATAGAGACATAGATTATACACAATGGTGAAAGGCCTCTCCATAGCAACAGAATCTCTTACACACGTGGGAAAGAAGAACCCTTGTTAGAAGACTCAGCAGAGGCAGCTGTGAGTACAGCCATAGGACTTCCAAAAATCTCAAAAACTAAATCTTAAGAAGTTTGCTTGGGAGAAGAGTAATTTAAAGGATAACTGTGCTAAATGTTTTGAAGGAACTGTTCTAAGTTTCTACATATATACTTTCATAGAAATATGAGTATGTGAACCGAGGAAACAGGTTTTTGCATGAATTAAGGGTTCATGGAACTGTCACTAGAAGAAGAACCAGTTTGTGAACATAATACTGCCGGCCTGGTATTCACATAACACAGCAGGTGGCAGGAATACCTTTGGACGGCCCTCCTCCATATTCGCACCATAAGACGCACAGGCATTTTACTCATTATTTTGGGATGGGGAAAAAAGTGTGTCTTATGGGGCAAAAAATTTTCTGGTAAACTAACCGCTTTGGGTCATTGTCCATGTTGTTCCTCAAGCTGGTGTCTAAGAAAATTGAAGCCGAAACAGTCAGCAAAGCAGTCAGCATAGATGCATTATGGAAGGAAGTTTTGGTGTATGTGCTGGGCCTTTTTTTTTAAAAGAAGCCCGTATACCTTTCAAGATACGGTGCTTATTTAGGTCTCTTTTTGTCCTCCCATGCATGCATGTAAGAATCTACATGTTAGCATGTGCCAGAGATTTCTGTAGGTCTTAGCTGACAATGCCTTTACCTCATGAGACATGGATTATACACCACCAGGTGAGAAGGCCTCTCCATAGCAACAGAATCTAAAACCGTGACACACGTGAGAAGAAGAACCTATTAGAAGACTCAACAATTCCATAGGCAGCTGTGAGTGTCCCCATGGTTCATAGACTTTCATAACAAAAATCTTTTTAACAGCGAGAGCAGTAACACATCCAATCTTAAGATTGGGTCAAGTTTGCTCACTCCTGAAAATTAAACTCTGGAGAAGTCATTAAATCTAGGGCTTCACATACTTTTTCCTCCCTGCAAAAACTGTGAATGTTTACATGTTATGTGCAATTAAACCATGGCAAAGTTTGATAACTGTGCTAAATGTTTTGAAGGAACTGTTCTAAGTTCATATAAAAACTTCATATAGAATATATGAATCATTAAGTTTTCAAAAATATTAAAATCTTTTGTTTTTTTGAAGAGTAAGGGTTTTTTTTTTTGCTGAGCTGTCTAATCTCATTCCAGGTGTTTGTGATACAGAATGACGTGGTGATTTCAATGCCCCCTTCAGTGTATGCAGCTACGGCACCAGCATTTCCTCAGCCACCATCTGCTCCACTTCCTCCACCACCTTATATGGTCCCTGGAAGACAAAGTTCAGCCTGCGGCCTAAGAAAAATGGTGCAAAATATAGTGTAGAGGATGCAAACTGAACCTATGATATACCTGCAATAAGTGTAATGCGCAAAAATAACTCATTTTGGATCCAGTTAGTTTTGGGTGTAGGGGCTTAGACAACCTTTGAACTGTGGATTATGTACTGCAGAGGACACCTCTAGATTCACTGACTCCTAAAGTGACACTAAACAACATATTTATTTTCAAAAACAATCCATACCATTCTGTAATGTCCCCCTAATCTATTTTTCATAAAATTGCTTCTTACTGCATTTTTTCAGCCTCCTTGTTACATCCTCTGTGAGTTCTTCTCTCCTTTTCCCCCTGACATCCATTTGTTGAAAATGAGCAGTGCTGTTACTTGTGGTGATGTGCACTGCTCTGTGCATACTACACATCCCATAGTTCCATAGTTAGTTTGGCTGAAAAAAGAAAAAAGTTCATCCAGTTCAACCACTAAAAAAAAAGAAAGAAAAACAAAAGTTATAATCCTACACCCACAGTTGATCCAGAGGAAGGCAAAAACCCCCCAGCAAAGCATGATCCAATTTGCTCCTGCAGGGAATAAATTCCGTCCTGATCCCCCGAGAGGCAATCGGATATTACCTGGATCAACTTTACCTATAAATGTTAGTATCCAGTTATATTCTGTGTATCTAAGAAAGAATCCAGGACTTTCCTACAGCAATCCACTGAGCTGGCCAGAACCAACTCTTGAGGGAGTCTAGAGTCCATAGTCCCTAGTCCATTTTTGGAGTAAGAATGAGAAGGTGGCTATGTTCTTACTTACCGTGGGACCAACGTAGCCACCTCCTAACAGGAAGTCAGATCACAACAGCAAAAAAGAAATTTGGAATGTAGATGGAGGCTGAGAGTGATAGAAAGTACTTTTTTGAATTAGGGATACAAACTGTAATAGAATATTGGACTTTTTTACAAAAAACACATTCACTGTTAGAAATTTGTTCATTTGAAAAAAAAAATCCATCCTGTTCCTTAGAATTTTCTCAACATCTATAGAGACAATTTGACCTAACTAACGATTAGAAAATAGAACAAATGTTCTTAAAATTAACATTTTTAAAGACATTTTCACCAATGTATGGCCATCTTTAATCAGGCGCAGAGTGCTGGGATGTGACAGGAGAATGCTGACTCTTCATGTTTTGGCTGATAGTGGAAAAGGCAAGGTCTGAGCATTGTCCCTTGGGGACTTGCCTAAGCTCATGGAAATATAGACTTTTAGATATCAGTGCTTCCATAATATAGCCATGGGGCTTCTGTGGTACTTTCAAAGTTTTCCTGAGGGTCAGCCTTGTGAATTATGAAGCCAACTATATAGAATAGTTTTTATTTCAAAATGTTTGCCTTTAGTATTAACTACTTGCCCTCCAGATGATTTCCCCCCCTTCCTGACCAGGCCATTTTTTGCATTACAGCACTGCGTTGCTTTAACTGACAATTGCATGATCATGCAACGCTGCACCCAAATGAAATTTACGTCCTTTTTTTCCCACAAACAGAGTTTTCTTTCGGTGGTATTTGATCACCTCTGCATTTTTTATATATAAAAGAAAAAGATTGACAATTTTGAGAAAAAAAAACAATATTTTTTTACTTTTTACTATTAAACATATGCAGTAAAAAAATTAAAAAAATAAAATTTCTTCATAAATTTAGACCAAAACGTATTCTGCTACATGTCTTTGCTAACTGACAATTGCGCGGTCATGCAGCGCTGCACCCAAATGAAATTTACGTCCTTTTTTTCCCACAAATAGAGCTTCCTTTCAGTGGTATTTGATCACCTGTGTATTTTGTTTGCGCTATAAAAGAAGACCGACAATTTTGAGAAAAAAACTATTTTTTTTACTTTTTACTATTAAACATGTCCAGTAAAAAAAGTAAAAAAATCAAATTTCGTCAAAAATTTAGGCCAAAACATATTCTGCTACAAGTCTTTGCTAACTGACAATTGCGTGGTCATGCACTGCTGCACTAATGGCACTGGTCAGGAAGGGGTTAACATCTGGGGCGATCAAAGGGTTAACTGTGTGCTGTTTTACTGTAAGCTGTGCATGTGTGCTTCACTGTAAACACACTGCTTTGTATGGCTGTGCTATGCACATCCATACAAAGCAGTGTACAGGAGCTGACGGGAGAGATCTGTATTGTTTACATGCAGTTCTCTCCCCCCATTGGTAATGCTCAACGATCACCCCGTGCCAGCGAATAATCATCGGCAGGAACCCGGTGATTGACAGCCGAGGCAGCAAATACCCAGAAATGCAAAATCACGTATATGTACGTGATTTTGCGCACCCCTGTTGCCCTGTAACAGTATATCTGCTATAGGGCGGCGGGAAAGCGGTTAAGCATACTTATACTACACTGCATTACCTATACTAAGGCATATTGATATAATATATGATTGCACTTAGATATAAGAGAGAGAGAGAGAAACATTATTCTAAATTTTCCATGGCTTTCATTAAACTGTCATAAAATATTTTTGCTCTAGTTATGTATGCATTGTGTAAGTAAAAAAAAAATTGAAAATGCTTTTGGAGATATTTTGAATAAAAATAAACTCTATATCATACTGAAATCAGTTCTAAAATTATTTTTAAATGAAACTTTCTCTTGTTTATTGCACTTAATTGAAACCTTTAACAACAGACCAATGAACAGGTATATAAATGATTATGTGAACTTTGAATAAAATTGTAAGAAAAAGGCAGAAAATATAACCAGAACCCAATATAACAGTATATCATACCCATATATGATGCTTCTCTGTAAGTCCGTAGCTGTAATATTTAGAATAAACATCTGGGCAGGTAGCCCAGCCATAGCAAGAATGTTCTTCCATTACAAGAACATATGTGCAACATGACAGACAACCAGTGGTCCTGAACCATGGCCCATGATTCTAACAATCAAATAAAAGTAATCTAGTTACATAGTCTGGCTGAAAAAAGACAAAAGTCCATCCAGTTCAACCATTAAAAAAAAAAAGAAGTTATAATCCTATACCCACAGTTGATCCAGAGGAAGGCAAACAAAACCAGCAAAGCATGATCTAGTGATCATTCAGACCCTATGTGGGGATACTGAGGCCTTTAGCAAGG